AATATAATTTATTATAAATTTCAATTTACAAGCATAATTTAAAAACAATATCTATTCAATGGTATTATATAAATATGACCATCATCTATCACAATAATTATTAAAAGAAGGAAAATACAAAATTGTTTRTATTAAACTGCATCATTAGTTAATATTATCATTAATTAAGGATTTATTTATGATTTAATTTCATACACACATTTTCTTCAACAGAAACTTTTTAAAATTACACTACAAAGTGTACATCAATTTGATAAATTATGATATATATATATATAATTTATTTGAAAAAAATCTTATTTTGACAGTAAAATAAAATTCTGCTTAAAACCATACAATAATTATAATATAAACGTACCCTAGAATGGAGTTAAACCTACTATAATGCTATAATGATACATTAATAATTTTGTTCACGGTACACCAGCTGAATTTGACCAGGGTAATTTTATTTTATTCATAAAATAGAGTACCGGCTAGTGTAGGTACCACATTAATTAGAAATGTAAGTATCAAAGTTGACTCAACCACTATGAAACTTTAATTTAAAAATTAAAACAATAAAACACTGGGAATAGACAATAGTAGTAATTAGTAATTAGTTATAATTTAGACATAGGTGATTGATTTGAGATTTTTATCAATTATACTTCAGAATTACTGAATAGTTTTAATATAAGTAAATAGTAATATTGTTTAACTATATACATATACATATATATATATATATATATATATATATATGTATATTGTATATATAATGAAACAAATACTTACGGAGACTGCATGGACATTGCAGCCGACATCATAGGTATTAAATAAATTACAATAATTGTAGGTATTTTTCAATATATTATAATAGTTGTAGGTATTCTATAATATATTATCTGGAAGAGCCGAATACGGAATAAGTACGTCACTATATAAGTTGTTAGTTGTTACAACAAAAAATACTAGAAATCATGATGGTTATGCTAAATATTTTATCATTAATCATTATCAACATAATATTATATCGTTTCAGATCTATTTATATAATTGCTACATTTTACACCGCTAAACGCTATCTGAACTGTCGATCAATGGCCGTGAATACCGTTGGTTCAATTAATCGACAACGGTTCAAATTTTAAATGTTTTAAACTTGGTTAAATGTTTAACCAGTACATGATTATTTAACTTAGATAACAATGGTAAAGGTTGGTAGGTAGTATAATTGTACGCACCGATTATGCACCGTATAGTTGAATTGTAACCTATGAACTAAATTTGAACAGTATGGTTTTTATTTTAACCATATAACGTTAAAAGTACTATACGGTCAATAAGACCGACCTTAAACCTACATAAACAAATCCAGGAAAAATCAGTTGGTTCAATTGATCGGCAACAGTTCAAATTTTAAATACTTTAAACTTGGTTAAATGTTTAACCAGTACACGTTTATTGAACTTGGTTAACAATAGTAAAGGTTAGTAGTATAATTTAATTTACACACCGATTTGGCACCATATAGTTAAATCAATAACCGAAGAACACAATTTGAACGGTATCGTCCTAATTTTAACCACATAACGTTGAAATGACTATACGGTCAAGAACACCGACCCTAAACCTACATAATGTTACCCGGGCATATATTATTACAACAAATTTATATTATTATTACTGTTAGCGCCCGCACTCGCAATCGCCAGCTTCCGACCGATACATAYACACGCACACAACATATTATTTGTTTTACCAGTATTAGGTATATCATTATTAATTATTTTTACTTTGTATAATTGTCAGCGGCGAATTATTATATAATATATAAAAATAATGTAGATTAAAGCTGGTTATCGCGCGCCGCCGGATCGGTTGCGTGAAATTAATTAACACGGCCGCCGTGAAACTATTGTCTTCCTCCGTCCGTAGTCGAGAGAAGGCCGTCG